GCGGGCGACGCCTAGCCCTGGGCCCGCTCCGCACGCCCCGTCGCACGCCCCACGCTCGGCATTGTCTACAACACTTTCTTATACTTTTAATCTCATTCTATTGCTTATTATTGATTTTATACATTTTTAGTTTATATTCTTATTGGAAGTTTTATTTCGTATTTGATGTAATTAAGTTATTTATTATTATTTATTGTTGTGCCGGCGATAGATTTGTTTTCACAGTTACGGCGCCGGTACCTGTTAGATCTTTTACATGTAACTTAGATTTTTTTATACACTCAGAGGTGAAGAGTGATAATATATACTTCAATAAATAAAAAATATACAAATAATATTGTAATGTATTTCTGCATATCCCCCAATGTCGCATTTTAGTATTCTTTTACTATCTAGAAATCATATATTTGTCCGTGTTAGATATGTACAATAACATTTTGACTTATAGTTTCACAATGCTGGCCCCTAAAAACAAATTGGTAAATTCTGCAAAAACCGATAAACGCCAGTTTTGTATAGAAAAATAGATAATGAAGTGGATAGGACTTATTCAATAAAAACAATCAATAACTGAGTTATAAGTTTTATTTTATAAAAATAAATAAATAATTTACATTTTCACAAAGCATATTTACATCTTACACGCGTTCTAAAATAATTTAAATAAATACTTGTCGTTCATTATAATTATTTACTGCAGTATTTTATTACGATATTTAATAGATGTTTTCATTACAAAAGCTGAAACAGATTTGTGCACAAAATATTAAAAAAAATATTTAATTTAAAGGATGATTTTTGGTTAATTTTAAATTCAAATATTGCTTGTTATCGTCAGGTTAGATATAATCTTATTTCAATAATTAAATCAAATTAAACAATCTTTTTTTCAACCGTTAATTTATCGATTTGTGACGTCATAACGTATTCACGCTCGACCACTTTGATAAACGGATCGTAGGTAACTAAACTTTTGTACTTTTCAACGAAATTTCAGTTAACTGGCATAGTTATAATATAGGTACTATGTGTTCTAATACATTTTTATATAATACAGCAAATATTGCTTACGCTATATAAATCACTATTCATACAATATCTTAAATACTAACAAAGCGTACGTATATAAATAACATCTAGGAAAGTACATAATTTCACAATGATTCAGTGCCCCCAAATTATGCACGAATTCTTTCTATATTTAGTTGTTCACACGTGCCACACATTCAGATAAATGTAAAATTTAAATTTAAATATTTCTTTGTATACGTTAGAGTTCTAGTTTTCCATTAAATTATAATGAAATGTTTTGATTTATATATCAATAAAATCAACGGATTGGACAGAACTTTTGGCACATTTATACTGCATTTAATAACAAAGGTGCGGTTAAAAGCCCATATTACTATAAACCCTAATACTAAATCGACTTAAATTCGCACACAGAATATCCCATAAGTGTTATAATTTCAATTTCAAACGTAAAATAATCTACACTTTCTGGTATTACTGTTACTGCAGTACAGCCAAAGAAATAAAATCGCTCCCCACTTTTGTATCATGCTTGAATAAATGCACTACCATGTATCTGTTCATATGACAGCATTTTTAAAACTCTTTTTTTTGCATTTTGATCGCAAGGCAAACGAATAAAGAGTTTCAAAGTGTCTGTATGAGCGAGAATATGGAAAAAGCTCCGTGGAATGTGGGCATTTTTAGACCTTCGATGCATTTCAAATGGGTAGTGAATAAACTTCCTCGACTGTAATAATAGCTATATCTAAGTGGCAGTATTGTAGGTGGTATT